TTTAAATCAACAATACTGTTTGGTCTATTAAAATATACTTAAATTTTAAATAACCCCATAAGAAGTAATCGAGAGGAGTCAAATCGGGGATCTAACCGGCCATTTGATCGTTCTACCACCTTTCGGTCTTCCAATTCACCTATTGGGAAAAAGCTCGTTTAAATAATTTCTAACTAAAAGTGTAAAATGCGCTGGAGCTCCGTCTTAATCCGATTAACATCAGGAAAAAATCTTTGTAATGTATGCACTAAAAAGTTAATAAAAAAATCTAGATAAACCGCACCACACCGAACCACAAATCAGCGTTCATTCTGTCCATCATCATTTCAAAGAATTCTTGCCTTTTGTTAGGATGATCTTCATTTAACTTCTGAATTAACTGAACTTTGTAAAGGTGGTATTTTTCTTTATGCAAAACTCTCAAAATAGATGATTTACTTACGTCATTGACGGCGGCAAGTTCTCGAGTTGTCTTATGGCGGATTTTCCTCGATCTTTAGAAGTACATCTACATTTTTACATGTCCAGTATAACGAAACTTCTTTTTAATTTTGCTAACTGTAGACTGCGACACTTTGTTGAATAGGGGATTTATTATTAAACATTTCACAAATGTCTTTTTGATTTCTTGTTTTATTACCACAACCAATCATAATTAAAGTGTCTATTCTTTAAGTCTGGGACAAATGAACCATAATTAAATTTAATATGCACACAAATATTATACTGATGTCTTAGTAACTTTAAATTCCTAAATAACAGCAGCCTACTAGATTTATATCACTTGTTTATTTGGCTTTTTGAATAATACTTTATTAGGTAACTTCAATAATATTCAGCAGAACAGATACGAAAATACCTGATTATTTCTAAAGTATATTTTAATAGACCAGGCACTATTGCTAATTTAAAAGTTAGGATAACTGAAGAAATTAACAAAATAACTCCCGAGGTCATAAAAATCGCCTCGGTTATTGTTAAGAAGTGAATGGTGACCATTTTGAACATTTAATTTAATTGTAAAGTACATTGAAGAATAAATTCTAAATATTATATGACATTATTATCATCATTCAACCTAAAGTTTTATGATAAAGACATTATCAAAATTTTACATCTTAAAAATCACTTTTCTCAGTTATGATTGCACCAAACTTAAAAAAAACTTTATATTGATGAACAGAGGACTAAAATCCCCTTCTAACAAGGTGTAACACGACCCCCTTTATTATTTAAAATGTTCAAGGGGGTACTTATGTTTCAAAGGGGGTGCTGGAGGGGGATAATATTTGTTCACTGTAAATTGTCAATTTAAGAATAAAAATCGACCTGCTTCAGGTTTTTTTCACATAGTACATTATAACGGTAAAAAGGAATTTATTCCATACATATGGACCGCATGGTATATGTAATAGTCTAAGCATATAAGCAGTCAACTGTTTAGACCAGTAATTGATAAGGTGTAAATTTTTCAACGATTAACCATCATTCTAAAAATATTTCATCAAATACAAAACGACTTATCCTTTCTTACGTTTGTTAATACGTTTGTTAATACAAAAAAAATTATTTGTTATTGAAACTAAAAACCATATTAGGCATATTTTAAATAAGCATTTGATTTTCTTCCCTGACGTTTCCAATCAATGCGTTTATCCGATAAAAAATACTTTTGGCGTAAATTTTTTAGATGTCTTTCAAACATTTTAGTCCACCTACGTATATAAGATGAAAATATCATTCTAAATAATTATATAGGGACATTAAATTTAAAAACCAACGTTGGCAACTATATGTATTTAAAATTTAGATATACATCATTCACATACAAGGGGAAAAACCAGAAGATGACGTCACTAAGAAATTTTAACACAAAATCTCTAGTAACTGTTTAACAAAATTAAAAGGTATAAATATTATACAATCTAAAAAAATCTTACAGCTTCCCCCCAAAACATTCTCAGCCTTCTTCTCTAGTGAGTATTGAGAAAAAATTCTCTTAAACAACTTTTATAGTATAACTTAAAGATCTATACTTCGTGTTCCAAATATACGAGGCCGATTCAGAGGATAACTAATTTATCTTAATTGTAAACGTGTATCTTTATGTATTAAATGAGGTAAATTAAAAAAATAAAACGTAAAAAAATTAAATAAAAAAAAAAAAAAAATTATCTATGTAAACATTCTTAATACAGTGACTTTAATACCAAATTGTTGTCTCCCCGAAACTTTTTGGAAACTTTTTATCCTCGAAATTCACAATTATTTTAATGTTATAAATTATTAAATAATAAATAAATCTAACGAATTAACAGTTAATCCGAAATATGAATATATTACTAATCGAATTACCAAAATCGATACAGTACACGTTTTCCTCCTTTTCTTTTTTTAGGTTGTCGATTTTATAATAATTATTAATTAATATAAAATTAAGATTTAAGGAGTCAATCAAAACAACAAACAACTGAAATGACGTTTTATATTACAGTTTAGTTTGAAGTTTAATGATGAAGCTAGTTATTAACGAATCAAATTAGGGTTTCAAATTAACAATAGTCATGGAACATATGTATATGGAATAGAAATAGAGTAATAGTAATCGAAATAAGAATAGGCACTAGCAAAATATAAATACTATTATATGGCTGGCACACATCTCAACCATAGTTAAATTACGACGTATGGATAAGAATTAGAATAGCTATGTCACAATTAGTAACAATTGAAGTCAGTAATTACACTATAATTTCAATACTGACAAAGATTTTTAAAATATTACGTCTAATTTGAATTGATATGTTCTCCGAAAGGACGATAAGAGTACTCAATATAAAGAAAAGGGAAACTATGGAAATTTTAATTTATACACCCATATTCTAAATACTACTCCGTCTGATGTGGGCTAATGACATACCCAGTTTTAATAGGAGATAACCTAGGCGAAATTACCAGCATACTAGAAGAACTGGACAAAGTCTGTAGAGAAATCGGTTTAAAAATAAATATCCCCAAAACAAAATACATGACGAATCTTGTGCCCCGTAACAATTTAAAAATTCAGAAAGACGAAGCAGAACTTGTTAATAAATACGGATGCCTTGGATAAAGACAGAAACATACCGATTAATCTGAAGCAGAAAGTCTTCGATCCTTATGTTCTGCCACTAATAAACTAGTATGCGAAAACACTGTCCCTAACGAAAACAATGCTTTAAAACTCAGAGTAGCACAAAAAAGAATGGAACGTTCAATGTTATGAGTAACAATAGAATCTAAGATCACAAACGAACACCTACGAAAAAGAACCAGAGTTACAAATGTTGTGGAGAGAGTTTGCATATTCAAATGGAGATGGGCTAGCTACGTGGCGAGGATGAAGAATGTTGGGTGACCGAATGAGGAACAAGGACATATAAACGAAACAGCGGTAAACCACCTACAAAAGTAAGATGATATATGAAAGATGACGAAAAATTGGATCCATACTGCACAGGACCGTGCACTCTGGATACAAGTAGGGGAGGCCTATGTGCTGAAATGGACTTAAAACGGGCTGATCATGATGATGATTCACAATACCATGTACACATAATATTAATAAACGAAGAAGAAGAAGACTTCTATTTCTTCGAGTGTTGTCTTCTACCAAAGATCGGCAACAATTTTGTAAAATTTTCTGCGTATCGAGTCTTCCTCGCCAAACGGTTTGGGCACCTGTCCATTTCATTACGTGACCAAAATATGCAGTTTTCGCGTTTTAATGATGTTTTGTCTCACTTTTCCTCATACAACGCAAAATTTTCAAGTTAGGTGTATAAACAGTCCAAGGTATTCGAAACATTCTTTGATATACCCACTTTTCAGTTGCCTTCTGTTCAAGCTGCTAACTTTTAGCGTCAACCCCACACAAAAGTATGGGATATATATATATATATATATATATATATATATATATATATATATATATATATATATATATATATTCCACACCAACGCTACATTTCTAAGTCAGGCTTAAGAGTCTCATTGATCGATGTGCAAGCCGCCATATTTTGAACAATTGATACGTAAGAGAAATTTACTATAACTAATTACTCAGGACACAGACTTGATGTAAAGAATTGGAAGAAGACTGGAACTGATAAAAAAATCGAAATTGGTTTTGTTAAGTTTGAGTAAAATACAGGATGTGTGACATACATACATTAAAATGTTTTATTACAAATAGAGAAACTGTAAAAATTAGTCGTCAACAACAGAAGAATATACAAAAATAACATATCCAGAACACTACTACAGTCACTAACTCGCTATATTGAATAGCGAAGTGCAAACATTGATTAACTTACTAATATTTAAATTAGTAAACCAAACAGATGGAATATTGTTAAAGTCATAAAACAGCTTAGATATTATACAGATATTGGAAAGAGATCTTTAAATCATACTATACACACTATGGAATAATTTACAAATTAATATTGTTGTCAAATAAATAATAGTTCTTACTTTTTACAAGCGCAGTCAAATTTTCATTCTTACGAAAATCTTACAAAAATATAAATAAATAAAATCTCATGTCTCTTAATCCTCAAAACCCTCTCTCCACATTTGACTTTGCTTTTAAGTGCGCGAAATATATACAAATGTACAGAGTGAGAATATAAACAGAACCCCTTGCCAACTTTTAATTAACTCAAATAAATTGTTTATTTATATGTAGCTCTTGGTTATTCCCTTGTAATAAGTTGTAATTACGTTTAAGGTTGAAGCAGTTGGAATACTGGCAAAGAGTTCTCTTTATATTCCGAACCTGGTAAATAAAACCTAAACGTATAAAATAAATATGACAGCTCTTTCTTCATCCTCTTATTCTTAAACTGCCTCAGTCTTCTTTGGTTAAGGGGTAACAAGGACTTGAAGTCCACTTTTTAAAAAAAATTCCAAAACTTAGGAAAATCCCAAAAATAAGGAAGTTCTGTTTTAAAAAGTTTTCACTGTTTGTGCGAAGCCCTTTCTTCTAGCTTCTTCCTGTGCCTAATTCTCCTACATTCTTTAATTGTACAGCAATATTCTTCTGGGAAACTCTTCTTGTTGTTTCTCGATTTTGATTTTCGCAACTCAAATATCATTTTGCAATTTTTCCATTCACAGCGTTCTCTTAAACAGGTTGATGTACCATTCTAAAACAAGAAACGAATTATTAATATATAAAAAATCATTTCTACCAATTTTCTATATCAAAAAATGCTAGCACACTATGCTCTAAATTATCGATGTAAAGCTCTGTGAGACTACTACATTAATATTGGCAGTATGGAATTCATTCGAAATTATATATTGGATATAAATAACTAAACTCACGTTTTTACGAGCTAAAACACATTTTAAAAAGATATACTTTAAAACGATAGCATAGTGTTGGTATACTGTAGAACTATATAATAAATATATAGAAGAAGAGATATAGTGCGCAAGTTTATCTTTCGCGCGGTTTATCTTTCATGCAAAATTTGAAAAAATGTAGGTACCTGGCCAAATCTGACATATATAGGAAGTCTGTTATAAAACGATTTTGTGTGACCATAAAGTTGACATCTCATACATTGTGGTAGCGTTTGAAATGTGGAGCTTCAAACTGAACTATCATGTTTTCAAGATTCAAGACATATATACACTGAACGCATGCTTTCAATTAGTGAAAACTATTCTGTCAATACACATAGACGCAACCATAGATACCAAGTTGAGTATAGATGAAAGGTATCATTTCAAAGTTTTATTAAAATTTTAAAGAATGAATAGTAATAATTAGTGTTATGCCAAAGAATCTTATTTCTTTTTCTTAATTGTTAAAAGTATTAAATATTTCTGAAAAAAAAATGTTTTTTAATATATCGAGGAAAGTTGGATCTTATTATTTATTATGCTCGATTATTATGTCAGTTAGAGTGGAGTAATGTAAAGTAGATACATTTATGTACATATATACAATATACATTTTATATGGAATATATTATGGCTAACTGATATTATCGTTCTTTCAGCCCTGAAGAAATGAATAAACATTCACAAAAACGTTAAGCCGTACAATTGATACACATTGAGATTTGTAATACAGAATTCCTCCATATTAAGAAGTTTACCATATTATATATATATATATATATATATATATATATATATATATATATATATATTGAATATGGTGCTTAGGACAACTCTAGAGTTATGACAGTATGGACAGGTTATGGAATAAAGTGTGACGTTTTTAAGGGGCGATGTAACGATGAGATTTAAGAGAAGGGCCTAAACAATGTGCTCTACCGGTTTTTGTGTACAGCGCCTATACAGACAGATTAAATAATTATTATCTAAATAAACATTAATAACTTACTTGGCATTTACAGGTCACACATTTATATTCTCCAAGAGAAGAAATGTATGGATGGTATGTGCTTTGATTTTTGTAGGGTTTTTCTGGATTAATACGATTTTTACAACCACCTTCCTTTAAAATCAGCTCAGAATTAGAAACTTCTTCTTTTCGCTGTACAGGCCATTTTCTTATATTGTCTTCACCCATAGTATCTGGAGTAGTAGCAGCACCTTTGCCGCATTTGTCAGTGTTGCTATCTATTCTTTTGCATTTAATTTCTAAATCTAGAGGATCACATGTACAAACTGTACAGTCATCGAAGCCAATCGGTATAAGAAAGGGATGAAATTTGCTACCTGGGGAATAGGTCCTACCGTTAAATATGCACTTTTTAGTGCTCATCAAAACTTCAGGTTCCCCACAAATTGGGCAGCATTCTCCAGGAGTGGTAAAATTCTTATGAGGACATTTATTGTCTGGACAGTTCATTTCATCACAAGTAGGTTGACCGTCTTGACAAAAACACATTTGGCATGGATTTTTGGATACCCAAGTACTATCTTTCTTGTAAAATTTTCCTTCGAAGAAGCAACTTTCAGTAGGGTGTCCAACTCCAGGTATGTCATAGATTACTGGGACATTATTATCTCTATCTCGATATGGAGATCGGCAAGATATTGGCAGCTTGACCTATAATAATAAAACAGACACTTATTTTAACTATACTGTCGTCAGATGCTAAAACTCACCTTTGGAAGAGTTGCTGAGAGAAGCACTACTTTATGTAGTGAATCCTTTAATTTAACAAATGTCACTCCACTGTCCAACATGTCGAGTTCTTCTTTAGTTAAAACATCTATTGGACTACCTTCCACTTGGTTACCCTCAAATTCTTCAAGAGTCTTTATTAGAACTGGTGCGCCAGGAGCTATGATCGGATACATTTCTAAATACAACTCTAATTTTCTTTCATGACCTAGACCAGAAATTGATAGGTCGTAGTGAATATGACATTCGCTGTCTACGGATATCCAAGCTATACCGCCAACTGTTGACGGTAGAGAATAATTTTCACGTTTGAGAAGTATTGGAGCTGGACCGTCACGGGCATCTGCTACTAATTTAGAGTTCAAATGTCCATGTAAACTGCTATTGCCTACAGATATTCTCATATCTAGTCTACTATTATAAAGAGGCTCCAAAATCTTATGAACCAGTCTGTCTTCAGAACCTAGAAAGCCAATTACATGATTACTCACATTTAAATTTTATTTTTTAAATATTCTTACCATGTGCTACTCCTGTATGAAAATAAGGAGTTAATACTTCTGCTTTTCTTTTACCACTTGCATCTGTTAGGGTAACGTTGTGAAGCTGGTCAGTATTTCTGTTGTCTATCTGTATATTGTAAATCAATGCCCCTTGATTGTTAAGATACATCCATGTTAGACCATTACTGGTAGACGTTAAATCTCTGTCACCAACCAAGAGTGCTTGGAAAATTTCACAAGTCACTTTAGTTATAATGCTACCACTTAGCCTTAAAGCGCTTGGTTCAGAAACTGATGAAACTGTCAGTAAGACTCTGCCTCTTGAGAGAGAACGAAGATCTGCCAGGGACACTGGTGAACTAAGTTCGATAAGATTTAGGTCTGGGGCGGGTTTGTTAACTTTGATATTCTGTAAAATAAGAAATTAAAATAATTAAAATTTTTAAAATTTTACATGTTAAATTTTTAATATAATATTTCAGCTACTGCTTACCCCTTCAATAATGATTTGTTTCTTTTCATCCAAGGCCAACATCACGTTAATAGGCACTCCCATAGATTCTTCACTTGTAAATAAGCCATTAAAGATTACAGCTACGTGTACAGAAGGAGAAGGAGTGGATGAAGTTGACACTAAGGCAGTACCTCCAGATCCAGCCATTCTAGCGGAATCTGTTCCCGGAGCTGGTTCGAGAAGTGAACTGAATAATTCACTGGCAAGGGCAACATATTTTGTAAGTTTACCACTAAGTGTAAATTCTGAATCCTTTGTACCCCATATTAGCACTACGTACATCTTTTCTTGCTTAAGAAGTCTAAAACATAATAGTTTCTGAAATTAAATTCATAAAAACATTGAATTGAAATGTCAGAAAAATTTAAAAAAATTTAATTTAGTGGTTCCAAAAAAGTGAGATGTTGATAATTATGCTGAAGCTAGGAATGGTTATATACGATAGATGAATGGTTATGTAAAATAATTTAATGGTATGGAAATCAATGTATAAAATACGTTACATTTGACGTTTCCTAATTTAAAACGTCAGTAAATTTTAAGTTAAAAGTTTTGATTTGTATTATCGATTATTATCAACCGTTCCTCTATCAAAAATCAAGAACCCAAACATTGTACGGATTATAAATTAATCAGTTTAATGTCACAATTATTGAAAGGATTTGAAAACAAGGTTGTACGTGCAAGGATACTCAGAAAGTACGAAGCGGATATGAGTAATAGACAGTTTGGCTTTCGTAATGGCTTTGGAACAGTAGAAGCTCTGTATAGTTTCACAACTCTTGCTCAAAGATGTCGAGACCAGCAAAAAGATCTTTTCGTTGCACAAAAATTTAACATTCTCATGGAATGTCTAAAGCGAAAAAGACTCGACAAAAATGGTAACAATATAGTGAGAAATCTATTGGAACCAACAAGGTGTGGTAACATTAGATGGAAATAGCATCATGCGCAACAGATAAATAGAGGAGTGAGACAAGGCTGTGTACTTTCACCCTTACTATTTAATAATATGCCCCGAGTTATTTATATAAGGACTTAAAAACGGTACAGAAGGGATCAAGATCAATGGTGAAAATATAAATAAAATTCGTTAGGCCAACGATACAGTCATTATCGCTGATTGTGAGAAAGACCTGCAGAACGCCACTAAACACAATTTTTAATACTGGGGAATAGTTTGGTTTAACAATAAACACACAGAAAAGAAAACCCATGGTTGTCAGTAAGAGAAGTAAAGTCATAACAAGGATCCAGAAAAAAAAATTAAGACATTGAACAAGTGGACAAAATGAAATACTTAGGAGTCTGGATTACTGAAGATCTAAATTCTAAATCAGAAATTCGAATATAAAAAGCAGCATTTTTGAAGATGAGAAAATTTCTGAGTAACCAAAGATTTAATCTGCAAATCAGATACGGGATATTAAAATTTTATATCTACTCTATTCTTCTTTATGGTGCAGAAGCTTGGATATTAATGTCGACTTAATGAGAAAGCTGGAAGCTTTTGAGATGTGGCTTTTTGGAAGGATTTTGAAAATACCAACCCATAATACGAACGAAATGGTGTTGCACAGAATGGGAAAAGACAATAACTTTTGATCAACATTAAAAGAAGAAAGGTAGCATATTTGGTTAAGCACACAAACGCTTTAAAAAAAAAGATAAAAATCAATTTGCAATGGTTATAGGCAACCTTAATTAGGTTCGAAGAGTCGGCACTAGAAGAAGAAGAATGTATAGAACAAGTTTTAAAAACTAAGCAGATGAACAGCTAAGAGGTTTAAGGGTACGAAACTGGAAAACCAAGACAAATATTAGATTGAAACGAAGCTATTCCTGGATCAGGTCAAGACCAGCAATGACTTGTAGAACTAACGATGATGATGATATCAGAGTCACAGAAAACTAGTATAATCAAAGTTGATACCAATTAGACTAATAACAGAGTTTTGGTCTCCAATAATTTATATATCTTACTTGAGAATAAAAGTATAAATTGATAATTATAAAAAGTCTATGAAAACATGCAAGAATTTAGAAAATAAGACGTAGTTACCTTCTGTAATCCCTGGGTACCCTTCTCCATATTCCACATACCTTACGCGTTGCATTCTGGTACGGACTGTTGACCAAGCCACCGGCATGTGACAAAGTGAACTCTTCTAGAATATTTCCTTGGTTATCCAAGAAATGTAACGACCTTGGTCTAGCAGCTTTTTCAGATATATAGAACGAGTAATGAAGATTTCTTCTATGAAAGGTGAACCTGCCAGTAGCAACTACATTATTTTTGTTTAAATCTTTCGGCATCGTGTCGTTTCGAAGATCGAGTGAGGATCTGCCCGTGAGTAAGGCTGCAAAATCTAAAAAAAACACATTAATAATTTTAAAATATTATATTGGTCAATAGTGAATTTTACCGATCAAAATAGATATTATAGAAGTTGTTGTTTTAAAAAAGGTCTAAAACATGCATGTATCCACTATGAAAAACTGTTTAACCAAAGGTTCATTATCATCATTCTCTTTGCCTTTCTTAATACGCGGGACCGGCTTGCCTAATTATTCTCCCATATTTTCATTTAAATAAGTAGTTTTTATGGTTATGTAGTTTGTGCATTGTTGTATATCTCCGTTGTTTTTTTAAAGAGGTACTAATATACTGCTTCTCCATTCGTTTGGTATTTGTCTCAATTCCATAATTCGAATAAGCAAACTTGTTAGCCAACTTGTTCCTGTCTCTCCTAAGGCTGTTCACACTTTTCCAGAGATATCATCTGGTCTAACTGCTTTACCTTTCTTTATTTTTTAAACTACTTGCTGCACAGTGGAAACTAGTGCAACCCTATCGTTTGTTATCTTGGCGACCATTCCATCTATTTTGATTAGAATCTTTTGCTTTATTTGCTCTTTGTTTTTTTTTTATTTTATATATATTTGATTCGTCCTCCTTAGTGTCAAGTTGGTCAGACATATTTATATACATACACTTCTGCTTAAGTTTTTGCTTCATTTTAACGGTCTTACTATTTTGAAGATCGTGTCATGCTTATTTTCTTGTTAAGGTTTATATGGTTTTCTCTTCTTTATTTTTTGACTAATAATTTGACTAGTTTAACGTCTGATTGGGGCTCACCAGATAGTTGTAACTAGAATACAACTTCAGATATCAAAAGACAGGCCTTTTAAGCAAAGTTTTAAGATGCAGGCAAATGTTCTCCTGTATAAAGCAAATTACAAAGTATCTATAAGTGGTGCTATCTATCTTGAATAGTTATTCAAGATAGATAGCACCAATGTTAAAATAAAAAGGTAAGAGAATTTTCGAAGTATACCTACGTATTTAAAATTATCAAAAAAGGTCTAAGCTAACGTGTATAAATTTGTAACGTATTATTTTAAAAGTTATGTAAACCTTGTCCCTTATAAACATTATAGTATTTGTTTCATTTTAATTGTGGTCCAATTAATGTGGAGAAAGTACTTACGGTTTATTCTTCTTTCCTCCTCTTCAATAACATTTTGTGGGACGATGTCTTGTATAACGTCGGGTTCATCTGTAAAGAAAAAGAGTTCTAAAATTAATTTTACGACCATTTGTGGGTGTATCTGTAAAAAGTGGGCGGCCATATGATGTTAATTAACAGTTCAATATTACTGATCGAATATGGTAACGATTGTAACGGCCACATTTGTGTTGCTTATATTGCAATGGCGTATCGCCATTTGGTTTATGTGTTAACTAGGTAGTAAATGCATTTAAGTCGTATAAACAGTAGGGTTAAATATTGATATTTTCTTATGTGGCTAAATAAATTCAATAAATACTATTTTGTACAAATTTGATTTTATTGTTCTTTATTATGTTATAACTTAAATTTAATGTTATGCCAAAGCATAGTCTCCGCCAATGTTGATTACTTTGTTTTTTAATAGTAATTCTTACTTAAGAAATCTTCCTAATATATAATAGATTATATTTTCCTAAAAGCAGGTATAATAAAATAGGAATTTATTCTTACTCATTAGTATAACTTGCTAATAATTTGTCATTTTGATTAACATGTCAAAGTCAAATTTGACTGGTATAATTTCTAATTATTTATATAAAGCCCAAATTTGAATTCTTTCGAGAAGCTTTATGGTTACTTATGCAAAAGGGTATTATTAAGATGATTACGCCCGAAGAGCAACATAATCCAGCCGAAGGGCCTCTGGACCGAAGAATGGATGTTGCTCGATGTGCGTAATCATCCGGTAACACCAGTGGTACATACAAGATTTTATTTTTCAGTTCACTTAGGTATTTTTACTTTTTATTGAACTGTAGCTACCAAATATATATATATGCATATTTTTAGTCGTATATGACAAATAAAGTGTTTGAAAGTAGTGTATAAGAGTTTTTGATATTTTGACGTTTCCTCCTCCTCCTAAGTGCCTTCTCTGTTCAGGTTTTCGATCAATATGGCAAATTTCTCTCTGCTCTGGGCTTGATGAATTAATTCATTTCCTCTTTTTTTTCGTTCATCCTATGCCCATTTTACCTTAAATCTTGCCTTCTAATATTACCTGGAGCTGCTCAAATTCTCTATGGCGCATTGTGTCCTAGATATGACGTCTTTCTAATTTTGATAGTATTAGCCAGATAAGGGCGTGTGTTCATTATTCTCAGTACTTCTTCGTTCGTAGTTCTGCTGGTACAGCTTATTCTTAACATCCACGGCGGTGCATCCACATTTCAAATGAATTTAATTTGTTGACGTCATACTGTTTTAATGCCTAGTTCTCACAGCCATATAGTAATAGAGACCATACATAACACTTTAGTGTTCTCAATCTTATTGAGACTGACAGCCTGGGGTTACAGAGCATTTTACGCATATTCATGAAACCAGATCTTGCTATTTCAAATCGTCTTCTAATTTCTTTTGAGTGGTCTAGTTGACTATTTAGCTCTCTGCCCAGGTCTATGAAGCTTTGGGAACTCTGAAGGGCGATACCATGTATGTAACTTGTTCATGGGGATTTTTGTGGAATAATAGAATTTTAGTTTTGGATAAGTTAATGTCCAAGCACAGCCTGTGACTTTCTTCTAAATAATATGTTCATCAATATTTTTAGTTGGTCTTCTGTTTCTGCTAATACTACGGTGTCATCGGCATATCTTATATTGTTGATGATGATTACATTTAATGTATGCATTAAGCTTTAATTACATGTTCGGCATATACATTAAATAATAGGGGGCACAAAATACACCCTTGGCGCACTCCTCGTTCTATGTTGATGTACTTGGTATTTCCGTTCTCTGTTCGAACGCATCCTGTGTGGTTCCAATATGTATGACTTATGATAGCCATGTTGTGTCCATCCAACCCTACTTCTTTTCGTACCTCAATCAATTTTCCGTGTTTGATGCGGTCGAAGGCCTTTCTGTAATCGACAAAGCACAGATACAGCCGTTTTTGAACCTCAAGCTGCCTTTCTGCCATCAGTGTCAATCTCATAATTGCTTCTCTAGTGCATGTAGCCTTTCTAAAAGCATATTGAGAACGACTCAGGTATTCTTCACACTTAGTGTGAATTCGGTTATAAATTATTCACATAAAAATATTAGCGGCATGACTCATTAGGGATACAGTTTGATGGTCTTTACATTTCCTTGCTTTTTGTTTTTTAGGAAGAGCTATATATGTGGATGTTAGGAAGTCATGCAGTATTATGCCATGTTCATATATAATGTGGCATAGGTATGTTAATTTCCTGGCAGCATTATTACTTAGATGTTTAAAATATTTGGCTGTTATGAGCCGGATGCCTTGTTCTTTGCATCTTTTATTACCTGCAAAACTTCTTCGGTAAGAATGTTTAATTTTCCATCTATACCTTTTTGTGGGGGCTCTTGTGTTCTCTGATAAACAAATAAATCTTTAAGATATTTGCCGCTTCAATGCATTTGCGTTGATTTTTGCAATTATCAGTTCGACTATTGTATTAAAGTGCGATAAAAAGGGTAAAACATTTTCATATTTTATAAAGTCACAGCGAAATAACAATATTGTTATAGACATGCCAACACCTACACGGGTCACACAAAAAATGAATTATCAAATCATTGCATGATTTGATAGCCAGCTCGAAATCCTACTCCAATGAAAATGCTTTCGAGGAAGAAAAGACCTGGTGATAAAAGGTTTTGACAAAAATGACTACCATTGCCATAATTTATTGTTATTATTTATTGTTAAATGTAATTTCACAAAATTGAAGAAAAAAAACAATAAAACACCACAAGCAATGTAGAAACACTCACAAGAAGGGACAAAGATGACAAAAATACCAATTGTAAAGGGCTTATCATAAACATTGAAAAGCATAGGAAATAAGTACCTACATCAGAATAACATTCAAAGCAACCAACACTGAGATCTATCCTCTCCAAAATCAAACCCACAACACACAAGAAAGATCAAAGCACCACATCCATAATATATGCTGTAAATAAAAAAATTGCAACAATGCACTATGTAGTGCACTATGTACCTTAAGATCCCCAAGTGTCAGACTAAACGAGCATGAAACATACTTCAAGGACAGAGACTTCGACAAATCTCAGATATGCAGACATGCCAGCTATAACATAGCAGCAATAGCAAATTCAAGGTGGCTGCAGACATAATCTATAATTATACACTATGCAACAAACAATACACATATAATCCACATTAACCACACTTTATAAAATATACAATATAAAAAATAAAACAAACAAAACAGTGAAAATTCAATATTCCGAGGGTAAAATACCACCCTTAGATTTTTTGTCAACCAAAAGAAGGCTATTGCCTACAAGATTGAGGCCAAGTAAGTTACCACCAATATTATAAAACATAACCTACAAATAACAACATGTTTGGTTATACATTTACAACGATTTCCGTAGTGGAAATCAAAACGTCAAACGTTATTTAAAAATTTCATGTTCATTACAATTAATTGTGCATAAATATTAAAAACTTTTATATATTCAAAATCAACAAGAAAATGAAAGGTATTATTATGTACGTTTTTATGGCTAAATTATAGTGAAACAGAATTTACTATATTAGACATTAATCAGAAATTTTTGAAAATTTTTCCAAGTTAACTCATTTGTACGCCCATGGTTTTGAGATAACAACCATTAGATACGTAATTTTTCCTATCAATGAAAATTATAGGCAAATTGAATGGACCGTTGAGTGCGCGGGCGTCCGCGTAAGATAGCAATGAGTGGTGAATGCACATAAGTTGGAGGTGGGACCGGTTAGTCTGTGACTGTTCTCTTAACTTTTTATGGATTATAAATTTACGTCATATTAATATTGTGATTATTAATTCATTTTTAGTTGATAAGACAGCAGCTTTCGTCGCAAGAGAACATGAAATTTTCAAAGGCCAACTTTTGTATCACTACTAGTATCACTGTTATTATAGCGTAATTCCAAAAATTAATGAAAGTAAAGTAATGTATATCTAATATTTTAAAGAATAAAAATCTACGATATTTAAAAATTAATTTGTTACTATACCAGGATTTAATCTCAGAAAATAATAGCTACAAAACACTAGTATTGTAGCACAAAGCTATATATAAAGAGCATCAAAAATAAAGAATGTCAACATTAAAACCAAATGAAAGTAAAAAAATCATGCTGATCAGAATGTATACATCGTGTCTAAATATTTAACCAACATATTGTCATAAAAAACTTCATTTATTCCTTTAAGTGAACTAAAATTTTAATAAATTCGTATATTTCTCGCAGTTACATAATATAAAATATTTAATATATTTTCTTTATAATTATATTTGATATTTAATTAAATATCTAGGGCAAACCAAAAATAGAGACATTCAAATATTTTTATTAGTTAATATCAAAAAATTTTCGAGCATGGTGAAAACACGTAAAACGGAACAGGGAACAAGGTTGTGAAGCAATGGTCAATCGTATCATATGCAATGAAGGATTGATGTGGATAGAATGTGGAAAGCTTTAAGCGATATATCGAAACACAAAAATCAATCAACTAAACTAATCACTTAAACAAAAGAATTGAGTAGAACAAAAACTTGTTTTATCTAAATGATAATAATCAAGCTCAATTTGCAGTAAAAACGGTAATAGTAGCCAGATTGAGAACCTTTTGAAAATACTCACATACTGTGAAATAAATGTAAGCATTGAGTATGGTGACACTACTAAAACTATTTCAGATATAATTTATTTCACGGTGAAGTACTAGGTATCGTGTATATTTGAAGCTTTTTTACTGAAAACTTCAACACGTGAAGTACGTAAGAAATGTGGACATGCACCTTTTATTTGTTTTTCGTGGACTTTGAAAATGCCTTTGATATAGTTCAATATATTAAGCATACATATTCAAAAACAAACATATTTACAGTCGTTACATAAAAATAATTTCTCATCTTATTGTAAATAAACTTCTATTGACAACTGAAATACCATAGACATCAAAATACAGTGTTGCGTATTGTCTTTTGTTTAATG